TCTAGTTCTGTTTTAAGTGTATTATTTAAAATTAAAAAAAGGCCAAGATGGATGACCCTAGATAACATCAAAGACACTTGCCTGATTCTGTGAGTCATTGTAATTCAACGAAGAATTTGATTGACCACCTTGGTACTGGCGCATACCACGCTGCGGCATTGGTTTTCCTGGATTCGCATTAGAGTCGCCATTTATCTTTGACGGTCCGCCCATATGTGATTGATTGCGATATTGATTTGACCTGCAATGTGGAAAACGCTAACTTAAGCGTGCATTAAAATGAAACGATGATGCCGTACCCATGCATGATTTGCGAATAGTTTTGATACGACGACTGATTTTGCATCGACATCGGCTGGTAATTGCCACCTTTGCCTCCACTTGACTGATTGCCACTGCTGCCTTGCGTCATATTTCCACTGCTACTGCCCACACCTGACGATGTGTTGGAATTGTTTGTGGTTGACGTATTTCGCATCATTTGCTTGCCCTGTGGCACCGTTTTGCGTTTCATCATCGAACCACCGCCATACTTGTTGCCACCGTCCGATCCACTGCTCAAGCCAGTGTTTGAAGCCAACGGCGGCGCTGTCGTACTCTTATTGCCACCTGCCATACCGCCAGCAGCCGGCTGAGTTGAGTTAGTTTGCTGCAGCTGCTGCTGTTGTTGACCTATATTTGACGATGTTGGTGGCGGCGCATTCATAATGCGTTCGCTACCCATCATATCGCCACCAACGACACTGCTATTACCGCCAGCACTACGTTCTACATGGGAGCGTTGTGTGGGGCCATTGCCGCTAGTTTGGGACGACACCGCTGCCGTTGACGAAGTTGTTATTGTATTTGTTGATGCCATGGCAACAGGCGGTGGCGGTCCGGTGATGCTACGCGTCGGTTTAGTAATATATCGCTCCGCCATGACTTCCCGTGGCTCATAGGCGCCACCACTATTAACTCCACCACCACCACGTTTACTGCGTTCACGATCATCACGCTCTCGATCTCGTTCCCGATCTCGCTGTTCCCGTTCACGCTCACGCTCGCGATCCCGTTCTCGTTCTCGCTCCCGCTCTCGATCACGTTCACGTTCTTTTTCCCGCTCAAGCTCGCGGTCTCGTTCGCGCTCTCGTTCACGCTCTAGCTCACGTTCGCGTTCTAGTTCACGTTCGCGCTCCACCTCGCTGCCGGGACGTTCGACAGCAGCATAAAGAGTTTCCTCATCCCCATTCTCTAAATCAACACGCTCACGATAAATAGGATTACTTTCGATTTCAGCAGCCAATTTCTCTGCTTTCGCTTCTGCCTCCTTGAACTCATCAGAGTCGACCTTATCAAGCTGCACCGTGTAAGTTGACAAGGAGTCGTCAAATGTAGACTGAACACCAAAGACATGCTCATTCTGGCGGAACATATCATTGGGATCCCAACCATTAGACGCGCCATCCAATTCTATATCAACATCGCCATTCATACCAGACGCATCCCAAGGCTCCAACTCTTTCTCCTCGAATCGTATGCCTGACATTGGAAAGAAAACTCATATACTACCACTCATTAAAACTACTATATTCATTTATCTTACCATTGAACTTTTCTGATATGGCGCCATCCGTAGCGAATGTTTTTGTTGTGGCATATCGTGAATCAAAATCTTTCGCTGAAATGCTCACTACAGTGTCACAGGGGAAAATCATGTGATTCGGCACATGTTTACCCTCATCTTCATTTTTATTAGTTTTAATACATAAAGGCAGCTCGAGTGCCACATCAAAACTAGGCGAGAATGTGTGAAAGACGCCCTCGTAAATATTACCCGAACGCAGACGCACCTGTACAAGGCTGCCCACTAACGCTGTGGCGGCATGTATAAAATGCGTATTTTTATAGACGCCTTGCGCTTGTGTCCGCCCTTTGTTGGACTGCTGTTGGTGTTGGTGTTGTTGCTGCCGATTGTCGGTCACATATCTGGAACAGGAAGAGGCAATTATAAACTTTGGTGAAATTATAATGAAAAACTAACTGTCTAACACTTTTTTATAAAGGTTATGTTTTTATGACTCTATGCATAACCCGACAGACCCAGATTTTCATTTGCCTGTTCCAGATACATAAGTACTCCAAGATTGGTAGGTTTTGCGGGTAAGGTGAATTACGGGAACAGCTTCCTTTCAACAGACTTAATATGTATATCACTTCAACAGCATTGACAAAATTTGATGGACATTTTCTAAGATTTACAATAACAATGCGAATCCTTGTGGAAAATATTATCATACTGCTGGGAAGCTAAAATCGTTTTTCGCTCATAAAATGCAAACTCTAATAAGTACATTTTATTATATACTTTCCCGGAGTACTTACAAGACACGACATCTACATATACAAACACCTGGCTATACTAGATAAAAGCTTTGGGGAATATAAGCCTAACCAACTGACGTTATCCGATAAGGACACGTTCCCACGACAGTCGGGTCTACGTGACCGGAACGACCCAGATTTATATTTGGCCAAGGGCTGTCACTTCAGCAACACTCCCCAAAAACTCTTTGGGGAATTTATATGCTGCTACAACAACAACATCCGATAAGGACAGGTAAATATCTGTGAAATTTAATTATTATGAAAGCATTTAGAATTAACCAGCGGTTATTAAATGACCTGAAATTAAACTAAAAACTAGAAAGTAAAAACGGGCACACTCCTTATATTGTATTTTTTTACTTATGCAGTTAACTGTGCCACTTATGGCTCTAGTTATTCATTTACTTCTATTCAAGTCATTTTAACATATGCTTTGGCATCTTAAGGTTAAGCTTTCTGCAAAACATGTCCAACACAGACACCTAACCTAAAACACTGAAATATGTAATCAAACAATACTTGCTAATCATTGTACACATTAGCAAATACGTTGCAAAAATAATAATAAAAGTCAACGCACTTTCTAATTCATTGACGTGACTTTTTGCCTATATGTACCTATTTAGTGTTCGGCTGTGTGTCCACAATAACAAGCTTTACGCGTAAAACCGCGACAGTGGCTACGCAATCGAAGAATTTCGTAAACAATATGCAGGAAATCAAGAATTCGTTCGCTTCATCTTTTCTCTCGGCGGTTTATTGAATTTTGTTAATTACCAACAACACAGCGGCATATTTGGTCAAAGCCAATGACCTCGCCGTTTGGCAAATCAAAATAAGATGAAAAAATTATGGCATTCGCCAGAAATGGGTAGGTCGATTGGATGCTAACTTGCATGCCGCTGTGCTGAAGTCCCGCGTACGGTATTTACATTTGCAGAATTATGAATCACATGATAAAGCCATGACATATCTTTACCGTCACAGAGCTGGGTCCATTTAAATATACATTTAAGCATTTTCTGTGATTTTTTTTTTTGATTTATGATATTCCACAACCTATCAAGAGGCAATGGAATGTAAACAACTATGCATTACATACGTATGTCCGTCCCATGGCTGTGATGAAGAGCACATGGCTACCCGGAACTCTTAACTGTTATATAAGTTGCATTCACTGCCGTTAATATTTAAGGGTATGGATAATAAATAATAAATACATATAGTAACCAATTACCTTGATACGCCACCGGGGCGGTTCTTGCGTTTATTGCTGTTGGTATTCATGTTGTTCGTTGTGCTGCTACTATCGACTGCACAACAATTAGTGGACAAGTGGCACTTTCGCTCGCGCCCCTTTTAGTTGCTCCGCGCTGTCAATTCTTTTGCTCCACTGCTGTTTCTTCTGCCTTGGTCGATTCGATCCACAACGATGATGCGTACTATGATGGATCCGCGCAGCGCTTTGCGAGCACGCTTTCAATCTTTTTACGTATATACGTATTTTACAACTTCCACAGGAGTTGCTTTAAGCTTTGATTAGTTGATTTAACGAATCTTAAAAAAAAGGAGTTCCGATTTCCGTATGCCAAAAACACAAAGTCAAAGAAACGTTGCACACTTCGGCACTTTGGTTTTTTATGCAATTACAATGCTTTCCACATGCACACACGATGCTGCCGTAATCGCGTTAAAATTTAGCTTTCGTTTTTGCGTTTGTGTAAATTATATATGAATATTTTTACGCTCGTACTAACGCACAATAAGCTTACAATTTCTTTTCACAGTGAAGTTAACTTTTTTACTTCTGCAATACGCTTCGTTTAAAATGCGTTTATACTTCGGCCAATTTACTGCACGACGAGGCACGAACGTCAATTTGACAACAACTGTCAAAATTTCGCTGAATTCTGGAATGCACTACCGGAATACATTGGAATGGACTACCGGAAGTACAAGGTGCTAAACACGGGTTCTCACCCTGTACCTCCGGCAGAGAACGTATATAAAACAGAGAACGTATATAAATGAGAAGGCGCATTTCCAGCGACCGTTTTTGTTCTTCAGAAATTTTGAGCTGTCGTCGAGAAAATATACCAATCGTCGACGAAATGCCGGCTGCCACCACGGCAAAGATTTTCAGTTCCTCCACACTTCGACGAAATTTACCATAGTGAAAAGCAAAATGCAAATAAAAAAAGAAAAACAAAAAACTGATTAGCACTAGGCAGAGGGGATGCTTGCGGAGGAAGAGGCGTGCTGGTGTCTGATGAAAACAAAAACTAAAATAAAAATGGAAACAGAGAACGTATATAAATGAGAAGGCGCATTTCCAGTGACCGTTTTTGTTCTTCAGAAATTTTGAGTTGTCGTCGGGAAAATATACCACTCGTCGACGAAATGCCGGCTGCCACCACGGCAAAGATTTTCAATTCCTCCACACTTCCACGAAATTTATCATAGCATACCATACCATACCATTTACCATTTAAGAACCAAGAACGTAAATCTAAAGATTTGAATTATTTGAACACATATAATTTAGCCGATTGTGTTCTTGCTGGGTTACCTCGCTCAGAGACATCTGCTGCCGATATTGTATGAACACTCACTTTCCCACGGCAGATGTCGCAAAACTTGCGCCCGCCATTGTGGTAGCCATTTGACAATCAGCTGATTTGCCGGCACTGTTTTTTAACCTTCTTCAAAGCATATTTTGATAAATTCTTTTTGTTAAAATCGACGACTTCAGTAAACAATGTTGACACAAACTGCACGTTCGGTAAGATAATAATATTTATGTTTTCTTACAATGTTATTTAGGACCATGATATCCATTTGCTTACAGTTAATTTCCCCAATCCGCATGGCTTTGGCACATGCAGCACGTTGTGCCGCAACAGAGGCTCCGCAGCGCGTAGAAAAAAGTATGTCTACTAAGTTAACTCAAATTTATAACCCACTTATGGTAAATGTATATCCATTAATTCAGCTGTTAACAATGTCACCATTCTCGGCCGAGTTGGCGCTGATCCGCAAATGCGGGGTTCCGTAGAGCACCCGGTTGTAATGTTTTCTGTGGCGACGCATGCTAATTACAGGTAACATATTAACATTTAAATGCTGTTGCTGCAGAGTACCAAAGCCGTGTTCGCAATTTTTCCGCCTAAATTTATAAGGCTTTCTATTAATCTAAGTGGTTACAATTTAGGGCATTGGCTCCGTGGTACTTGCGGCCGCAGCCACAGTGTTAAAAATGGTTTTTTTTTACCCACTTTTTACGCGTTCTACAGGTACGAAAATGGTGATTGGGCACAACGTACCGAATGGCATCGCGTAGTGGTTTTCAAACCAGCTTTACGTGATACCGTCATGCAGCATCTGAAAAAAAGGTCAACGTACAATGGTTCAAGGAAAAATCACCTATGGTGAAATTACCGACCAGTCAGGCAATCAAAAGACTACCACTAGCATAATAGCTGATGATGTAATTTTCTTCCGAACTGAGGCGTGATTATATTTTTGTGTAGATAAGTTACATATTTTTAAGCGTTTCATACACTATTCTTATGTAACTATAACACATTCTAAGCTTAATTTTGTAAAGTTTTAATAACTAAATAATTTCAATTAGTATATAGGAATCACCGCAATTAACCATTTTCTCGACACTTTGTTGTGAGAAGTAATTGATTTACTACATTCATTTTTAAAATTCAGTTATTTTAATTATCACAGAAAATTCATTATTTGTTAAGTTCGAAAGTGAATTGAAATTTGCAAATTACCGAAAATGTGTATCCAATATACATACTTATGTACAAAAAAATTTGTTATGCACTTGAAAGGATTATATTCGAATTTTAAACTCGCATATTGCTGAGGCACCCACCAATTGCCTTGCTAAAGTTCAGCGGCGCAGATTGTTATCGGTTCTGTCGTCAGGCGGCAAGATGTCCTGCAAATTAAAATACATTTGTAATACATCTAGTGAGCATTTAAAACGATATTAGAATTAATTGTGCTAGACCAGTTGCGATACAATATTAAAATTCTTACTAAAATAGTTTGTATAAATAAGATGCGTCTTTATTAATATCACAATTTTGGAAAATATTTCTCCACTCACGCATCGCCAACTGAAACATCTCATCGACCGCATTCAACTTATCGACTAAACGATCCAGATTCTTTTCAGTCTGTTTCAAAGTCGAAACATGACAATCCAGAATGCTGCTTATCTAAAGCGTAAAGATTTCATCATTGGCCATTTGGGCATTAAAAGAATATGCATCGAAAAACTCGTGACGTACTGTATGATACGGATTACTCATTTGCTCCATATATGGCTCCAGCTCATGTATCTCATTCATTACCGTATTCATTTGGTTGATGGTGCGATCGGTGTCCTGCAACAGATTCAACATATTGTGTTGTTGATGCTGCTGACAAACGAGTGGACAACCGCAGGTGATGCCAGCTGGTGTCAATGGTCGCTTTGCATAATCCTCCAGGGCTTTGATATTGCTCTCAAGCATTTTTATACTCGCGCCGTTCACTTGCAGCTCCTGCTCCGTGGCGGCTACTTTTTGTTTAAGCGTCTGCATTATTTCATGAATGCCATTGAGCTGCAGAAGAGTGGAGGAGTGTGTGCGTGTTATTGCCTATTTCCACCAAAGGCTTAACTGCAGTTAAGAGCTCAGAAAAGTTAAAATAATTCCAACGTGGGGTGATCGGAAAGGTTTTGCATTTTTCCTTTCGTTTGCTTCTACTAAATAAGTAGTTGTAATATCCGTTTTTCAAGCGGCATAAACTGCAGTTAAGGCTTGGTGGAAATCAACTATTAGAATGTAGAGTAAAAAAAATCGATTTTGCTTTATTTACTTTAGTTTCATTCTGTATCACTTGCAGCTGCTGTTCTTGTACCGCTTCACTTTTTGTTAGAAAATCTGATTCCAGCGATTCAGACTCACTGGCGAGCCAGTGAATGAGCATTTCTAGATGACTGAAACGCATGGGCTCCAACGCTTCGGAATTTAGACGCTTAGAAATTACACCGCAGAATTTTGACATCTTTGTTTGTTTTACAATTTTTTAGCGATAGAAAATAATTTTTTACAAATTTTTTTCATTAACGTTTTTTTTTGTATGTACATTTTGATCGATAATGTACTAAAAATTTGTTGTAGCAGATTCTTGGGGGCTTCCTAGTAAGAAAATGACACACCTTGACATCCAAATTACAGTAGGTAATATTTTTGAAGGTACGGTCGGCTTAATAAGTTCGAAAGTGGACCACTGTCTTTTTAAATCACTTGAGGCCACTTTAACTTATATTACTGCGTTTGTTTTGAACAGCTGGCTGACATTTGATTGGCTAATCTCAGCTTAAACCAGCCAGCTCGATCTTTTAAACAAAGTTAAAACACAGCCGCACACCTAAAAACTTGTCCTTATTGTTCTGGATCAAATGATGGACTACTGCAATTTGATTTTTTGATAACCTAGTGAAGAAACGTGGCTGAAAAGGCGTTAAACGCTTTGAATGCAGCCTGTTGCTTTAAAAGTTGGACATTCCCCGACAACCGGCTTTTCCCTTCCAATCAGGGGGTAGACCCTGCCGTAGGTTTGCACCCTTCTGGGTTGTACCTGCATAAAAACTCCCCAAAGAGCTTTTGCGGAAGCATCTGCAGTGGCAGGTCTTGGCACACAACCGCAGTTTTCAATAAGGTACAGAGCCGCAACAGCAAGGTATCTATGAACTGACGGACGAAGTCAGTCTCGAGTTATGTAGACTCTCGACCTGTGAACTCCGTTCCAGGCACACAACCACCAGACGTGAACGAGACAGAGCTTCGTCTGCCTCGGGAGACTCGAACCACAATAGCCCAATTTCGCTTTTGCCGCTGTAGCAGGATGAATTCGTACCTGAGCAGAACAAATGCAGATGTCCCAAATGAATGCCCGGCATGCGGAGAGGCGCCCCATGACTCAACGCTTCTCTTCGCATGCCCACTGAACTCCACCCTACTAACGCCCCTATTCTTATGGACAGACCCCATCGAGGCTGCACGCTTACTGGGTCTTCCGCTAGTAGACCTTGACGACAACGATTGTGGGCCTAGCCTATCTGGGCGGGGTTGTTGTAGCCGCTACAACAATTCATAGAGTCGGTCACTACCTACGACGACTCTCGACCTATGAATGCCGTGATTGCAACTCAGTCACCAGCTAATGCAGATTCTGAGCTTCCACTGTAGCGAAAAACCCGCGCTACTCTGGGTCAATTACGGTCAGGATATTGTAGCCGTCTCAAAAGCTACTTGTCCAGGCTCGACCTCGATATCCGCAATGAGTGTGCAGCATTTAGAGACTCTCTCCACTATACTTACCACCTCTCCACATGTAAGCTTAATACCACCCCTCTCCCTTTCGTCCGAGCCCGTCGAAATAGCGCGTTTCTTGGGCCTACCGTTAGTTAAGCTTCACGACAACGATATATGGACAAACTGACCCACGCGGGTCTTAGTAGTCCCGCTACAACAACAATAGTCCTTGGTCCGATATAAATCTGGGGCGTTGCGGTAACGTAGACTCCTTTTCCTACTTTTCCGTAGACTGCTAGAAAACATTTAAGGTTTCTTTTTTTCAGTCAAAAGTAAATGGCTATCTCTTCGAACTGGCTCTCTTCTTTGAATTGCAACCAAATTTACTGTAACAGGGAATTCGCGTTTTTTTATAACTCCACAGAATCGTAACTTTCAGAAAAGACGAAAGTGGGCATAGAAAAAGGCGCACCCAAACTAAGCAGAATACAAATTCTCCGAAAGCATCCTAAGGCCGCACCCTCCCGTTTCGTCTTTACATGACCAAACTCCCTCCGCCACCACTTGAAGTTAACTTAAGACGAAGTAGAATTACAGCGAGGGATTCGGTGCCTCTTGGCTGAACCGATGTCGGACTTGTGCAGCCACCTCAATAGTTATCTCTTCAGTTAGTTCAGCAAGCGGTTAGTGGCAACACGACACCACTCAACTCTTTGTGGAAAGCCCATTCAACTCGACGATCCTGACACACGGAGTCTTGTGAACAGCGTTCACCGGCGGAGCACGGCTCTTAAGCAAAAACTGATAGGATCTCTAGGTGGTCTCTTTTTAAGTCCGCGTGGAGTTTCCCCCAGCTTTGTGTATTTGTTGAATAGAATGGTCGTGGAATTTGTGGCGCTAGGAAGTGATTAGGCTTCGGTATCTGCAGTTCATCACTTAAATATGGATGACTGATATCGCTCACATCCTTTCGTTTTAGTTTTTGTTGGATGAGAAATATATACGTTCATATTCACATTTTTTATGCGCGCACCCTAACCACCGTGAATGACTGCGCATTTAGGGTTCAGTAGGAGTAATATTAGTTATGGAAACGTTGCTCAAAAGGAATATATTTAAATAAAAAAGCATTCGATACGCACACTTAATGACGCTTACTATCGATATAGATATGACTAGACTTACAAATCGCACTTTGTAATGAAATCCACATACTTATGTTTGCATGAACATGTCTATTCTTGTTGGAAAAGAATGCATATATATTAATACCCACTAATAAATTTGAAATTAGCATTTGGGTCATTCCATTGTAACCGGTGTGATGTGTTTTTTGTTTTTCAAAAAATTGTTACTACAGGAGCCATGGAGCGATACTCAGTTGAACAAAGCGTAAAAGTGATCCAAATATTTTATAAAAATAGTCGTTCAGCCAGAATGGTAAACATAACCGGCCATCTGAGTCAACCAACATCCGTTTGGTGCCGAAATTCAAAGAAACTGGGTCGCTGCAAAACGTGACGACAACGCCCGCGCGTCTTCGTGCAGATCATTCGGTCGAAAGTATTGCTGCTGTGGAAAAAAGTGGCGATTAGGCCGCGACAACTTCAATTAGGCTACAAATCTGCATACTCAAAACAATTCTAAAAAATCTGATTAAAAAGTTGAGAAGTTATGTTTTTTTTTGTAGACTGTACTCTATTTTTATAAAAATTGAAAAAAAATTTAAGAATACAAATTGTCGCATATATTGTGAAAATTTAGCTGTGCGAATCCTTTTTTCCGGCAGTGTATGTATAAATGACAAATATAAAGCCCGAACTATACCAAAAATTTAAGTCGTTTTCCCATTGACCAATTTGTAAAAGGAATTCGCTAAGTGTAGACAAAATATTTAAATCCGACACAGAGCTTGAACGAGTCTGATACTCATTTCCGACCGGGTTATCAATTAGACCAAATTAGCTAAAATGTTGCTGCTCGAATTTCATTTTCGTTTTCCTTCTTCTGTTCCAGTATGTATTCTTATTTTCTTATGTTGACTTGGAAAAAGATACTAATTAGCATTCATTTACAAATGTACTAAAAATGAAGGCACAAAATCGCAAGCTGCTAAATGAATCAGCTTTGAATGCATGCCACAAAAGCGCAGAAGGCTTGTGAATTTAATTTTCGAGTTCCTTTAAGTTTCAGAGCGCAACTGTAAATCTTTTATAATCTTTTTAACATGTACTTATATATGTATGTATGTTTATATTTTCGTGGCTGGATTTACGTGGTCTATAAAAATGTATGCCAGATGGTACTGAACCTGAATCAAGGGAAACTCGATTCGATATTTCATACTACTAAGCCTTATTTTGAGTTTCATATTCCCCGAACCGGTTCACTTTTCACTTTTGGCTTCCATGTATTTATGATGGGCGGATTTAAAATTTACGGGTGAGTTTTTTTTCGGGCGAAACTCAGGATAAGGCAGAATATGTATGCCTAGACGCAAATAATAAAGATTTGAATTACATACATGGATGCGGCAGCTGCACGGAGTGTAACAAGCTAACTAAGAAATGAGATTCCTTCAAGCAAACCTTCATCGGAGTAAAACCGCGGCGCCCTCCTGCCACAGCGGAATTTAAAAACAAACAGGGCACAACGGGAACAGCAGCTATATGACTCTCGAGAAACTGTAAACGCAATGTCACGAGGAAGTGTACACAAGGAGCAATAGAAGACGTAATAGAAGGAGTAGTAGCCGCGCAGAGCGGAAATAATTACTCATCCCGTGTAGTCCTTATTGCGTCTCTGGACATTGAAAACGTGTTTAACAGCGTCAGATCGGTCGACATACTGCAAGCTCTCGAAACAAGACTTGAAATTTCTGCATAATAAAAAGAAAATTTCGAATGAGTACGACCAATTTCATCCTCCTGTACGGTAGGGAATTATGGACCGAATCTCTAAAGGTACAGAACCAAAAGTCAGAACCAAAATCTTGCTATCGTGCTTGCTTAAAATAGCCACAGCAAGGCAACAGACTATCCGAAAGTGGCAGGAATAATGGAACTCGGCTCAGCAAGGTAGATGGACCGCAAAACTTATCCCTGACCTAGATATCTGCATGAAACAAGTATTTTTAAGCAAAAAACAAAACCGACTTAAATTCTCATATAAAATTTCAAAAGTTTCGTTAATTTTTTCATGATCCAGTGATCGGATCTAAACCAAATTAGTATGGGACTACCCTTAAGCTACCACCTTTCTGATACGAAAATAATTATAGAAATTAGTTAACGTGGTCCAAAGTTGTGCGATAACATACATACAAAAAAAATATTCCGACGAATTGAAAACCGTCTAATTTTTTTTGAAGTCAATGCTACTATTTTCGAAGATATCACATATAAATTTTGGTCCGGATTGAAGTCGGTTAAGGCGTGCCGTACAGGGGTCAAAGTTCAGATTACCCTATGAAGACGTCTTAACCGACTCCAATCGGAGCAAAAATTTATACATATCGAGCCCTAACCGCCAAAATAACGTAAGCGACATTTTTTTCAAAATTTTCTTTTTGATGCAGAAATATTCCTAGAGCATCTAGATGCATTTCTGCATCAAAAAGAAAATTTTGAAAAAAATGTGGCTTACGTTATTTTGGCGGTTAGGGCTCGATATGTGATATCTGTAACGGTGGTATTACCGATTGAGGGGGTGAGACCTAAAAAAAGCCTTTATTTGATTTTTTAAGAA